CCAATATTTTTAGGTAATTGTCCTAATTTGTAAAGGGCTAATTAAGTAAAGTAAGTACTTTACTTTACTTAATTAGTAAGTAAGTAATCATTCCTAGTTCTCCTTGTAATTTTCCATGTTCCAAAAAAGGAGGAGGATAGAATAATATGGACCTCACACAGTATTGGAGAAACATCCACCACAGTCCATAAAAATACCTCTACCTTGGCAGTTGGGTTTGTTCCACCTTTGTGAGCTTTCCCCATTTTTGGTATGCAACAAGAAGTATTTGCACTCTTTCTTTAATCATCAGTGGATACCCAAATAATTTCATGTTTAAAAAATTAGCCATAAAAGTTAAAATAATAATTGTGGTGGCTTAACATTTAGAAAAAGATGGTGTAATGAACGAATAAATAAATAAATGGTTGAATTATATGTATGTAATATTGGCTTTTGAGTGAGGTTACTAGGACCTGGAAGACGTAAAGAATTACATGAGAATGTTAAGGATTCCCTGTGCAATTGCTTCTTATTATTCCAGTACAATTTATAGAGAAAAATGTATCTTGAGTAGTAAAAGTACAGAAAAGGAAAGTTGCAGATAATCGTAGCTAAAATTTTAGAGAGCAAAACACTGAATGGTAAAGTGTTTTACAAAAGAGCCCCGATTGTGGCAGATTCAAAACATGATCCGGCCTGAACGCTGGTTCCCTGACAGGCAAGGTTTTAGGCTGGGGATCTACTGTATCACCAAACCTCACGATGGCCTGTAAATCTCCTGCCATGTTGCTGGAGGAGCTCTTTAAAAATTTCCCCTGGGGTGGGTGCCGAGGGAGCAGCGTGTTTTCTTTTGTGGACGAGGCCATCCAGTCCCCAGAACAGCTGTTCCGTCTCGCGATGCAAACCTGGCTTGTGGCAGGAGATGTTTTAACCTTGTGGAGCAGGGGGGGTTGGGGGATGGTAGGGTCACCTCTGCAACGTTGCGTAGATGGTGGTGGTGTTAAAAGATATCTCAGTTGCCTGGGGCCACGCGCCTAAGGTTACTAATGTTGCATCATCACAACGTATCATTCTTGATCTTCTAATGCCCATACTAACTCTTTGTTGCACTATTTTCCTGAAAGAACCAACTTCTTCTTAAAACAGGCACGGAGACACGGTTCCAAAGAGAAGTCCTCCAAGAAGCACAGGCCCGAAGAGCATAACGACAAGGACCACCCTTCGGATAAAGGGAGGGAGAGCCTGAACTCTTCTTCGGAGAATGGCGAGGAACGGCACAAGCGCAAGGAGAGGAAGCCCTCCAGGGGACGCAGCCATTCAAGGTCTCGTTCGCGGGAAAGGTAGACGCATAGTTTCCTGGTTGAGCCCACTCACAAAAGAAGGGGAGCCTTTGAGTTTTGGTCTTCTAAACCAGTGTTTCTCAACCTTGGCAACTTGAAGANGGGGAGGATTTTTTCTGGGGTTAAAGCGGGTATAGATGTGTGTGGATGGATGGATGAATATAGAGAGATGAAAAATAGATAAAGGAGAGAGAGAGATAGAAATAGAGAAAAAGAAAGAGAGATAAATAGAAATAGACAGATAAAAGAGAGAGATTGATAAAAATAGATAAAGAAATAGAGAAAAAGAAAGACAGATAAATAGAAATAGATAAAAGAGAAATAGAGATTGATAAAGAAATAGATGAAAGAGAGAAATAGAGGTGAAGAAATAGACAGATAAAAGGGAAAATAGAGATAGAAAGACATAAAGGAGATATAGATAGATAAAGAAATTGACAGATAAAAGATTAGAGAGATGGAAATAAAGAAATAGAGGCAGATAAGAAAGACAGATACAAGAGATAGATATATAGATAAAAAATAGATAAAAGAGAAATAGAGGTGAAGAAATAAAAGAAAATAGAGATAGAAAGACATAAAGGAGATATAGATAAAGAAATTGACAGAAAAGATTAGAGAGATGGAAATAAAGAAATAGAGGCAGATAAAAAAAGACAGACAGATACAAGAGATAGATATATAAATAAAAAATAGATAAAAGAGAGAAATAGAGGTGAAGAAATAAAAGAGAAAATAGAGATAGAAAGACAAAAAGGAGATATAGATAGATAAAGAAATTGACAGATAAAAGATTAGAGAGATGGAAATAAAGAAATAGAGGCAGATAAAAAAAAGACAGATACAAGAGATAGATATATAGATAAAAATAGATAAAAGAGAGAAAGAGGTGAAGAAATAAAAGAAAATAGAGATAGAAAGACATTAAGGAGATAGATAGATAAAGAAATTGACAGATCAAAGATTAGAGAGAAATAGAGGCAGATAAAAAAGACAGACAGATACAAGAGATAGATATATAGATAAAAATAGATAAAAGAGACAGTTACAAGGTAGATTAGATAGAAATAGAGATAGACAGATAAAAGAAATAGAGGCAGATAAAAAAGAAAGACAGATACGAGAGATAGATATATAGTTAAAAATAGATAAAAGAGACAGTTACAAGGTAGATTAGATAGAAATAGAGATAAAGACAAAAGAAATAGAGACAGATAAAATAGATATAGCGATATATAGATAGATAAAGAAAGAGATAAAAAGGCAGATAAAAGATAGATGTGTATTTAGATACAAAAATATAGNAGAATTCCCCAGCCAGCGAATGCTGGCTGGGGAATTCTGGGAGTTGAAGTCCAGACATCTTCAAGTTGCCAAGGTTGAGAAACACTGTTCTAAACTAACCTGCGGTGGTGTTGGTGTTAGAACAATATGCGCCTTTGTAACTGGATTTTGTGGTCACCACAGGCAGTCCTCGGCTTACCAGTTCGCCTAGTGATTACAGGCGCATTGAAAAATGTGACTTAAAACCGTTGTTCACCCTTAGGTCATGTGATTTACATTAGAATGCTTGACAGCTGACTCATATTTATGACCGTTGCAACGTCCCGGGAGTCACACGATTCCCTTTTGCGACCTCCTGGCAAGCAGTCAGTGGGGAAGCCAGACTCACTTAACAACCGTGTTGCTAATTTAACAACTGCGGGGATTCACTTATCAAATGTGGCAGAAGAAGTCGTAAAGCGGGGCAAAACTCACTTAAAAGATTTCTCACTTAGCAACATAAAAGTCGGGCTCAGTTGCGATGGTAAGTCGAGGTCCACCTGTGTTTGTTTCTTCAGCCTAGTTCCAAACTCTTACACTTAACTAGATTGGGGATCTCGTGGATTCTTTTTCTGACAATAGTTATGCCTTGACCGCTGCCACTGGTTTTTCTGTAGAATGGCAATGCTGACTCGTGTTTCTGCACTCATTCCAGGGGAATATCTGCTAAATAATATAAGCCTTAAAACTTTCTCAATTATCTTCTTTTAAAAAAATACAATCTAAATTATCTTCTTTTAAAAAAAATACACCCTAAAGACAACATAATGCTTTTATTTGTGGGTAATTAAACGGGATAGTCAAGGAAACATTAACAGGGATTTGGCGTGTGATTCCAGGCGGCACCGTAGTCGAAGCCGCGATAGAAAAAAATCCCGCTCCCGAAGTCGAGAGAAAAAGCGGCGCGTGAGATCCAGATCTCGATCCAAATCCAGGCACAGGCATAGAAGTCCCAGCAGAAGCAGGAGCCGCAGCCGGAGCAGGTGCGTTGACGTTTTTTTCAACGATAAAAGGTAGAGGGGGTGATGGCGAACGGGAGAACAGGCTCGTTTGCGGTCTGATAAGTAATTGTGAGGAGAGGAAAAAATCAAACTCTCTGGTTCTGAGCAGGGAAAGAAAGAAGAGACCGGAAAAACCACGAAGGTTCAGCCGAAGTCACAGCCGAACTCCGAGCCCCCCGCCTTTCAGGGGGCGAAACACAGCGATGGATGCCCAGGAAGCCTTGGCCAGGAGGTACGAGACTCTCCTCCAAACGTTCACGTATTTTGATTGTAGCTTCCTTTGATATGTTTTCTAAGAGGGTTTTCATCACACACACACACACTTGCTGTGCAAGTGGAAGTGGGAAAGTATTTCACGCCCTTTGTCTTTCTCATCAAATGTATTTGTCGAAATCAGGATTAGGATTAGGATTTATTTCATTTATATGCCACCCTTTTCCCCGAAGGAGACTCAGGGCGGCTCACAATTCGGTCAGGGAAGGGGGTACAGACGGGGGATAAAAAGACGAACATAACAATACACAATTTAAAAACACACAACAA